GAGCGTGGTGCTGACAACACCAAGTCAAGGGTTAAGATCCCCTTACCGGTCATCTTTTAAAAAAATTAAAAAAAAAAAAAAGTAACCTGAAGTTACCCGATGTTAACCGGTCAGCTTTTCTACTGTTCTCCTTCCTTGTTCCCACTGTACAAAACCCACTGTTCCGCTGCTGTCCAGTGGGAGCTCTCATTCTATTTATAGATGGTGGCCGCCCTGATTCATGGTCTCAAATAAAAGCCAATTAGATCTACAAATAAATTTGTTGTAATCTTGTCTTTTGACAAGAATAATTCTAAGACATTACATAGTTACTCAGTTCCCTGGGCTGACGATTGCGCTCATGATGCAAAAGGCACCAGTGGGTAAAAGGGCTGGCACCTTCATACTGGTGACACAGAGGCACCGACCTGCACTGCCACTGCATTCTTCACCACCACACAGGCGAGAGACACAAAAATGCATTTCACTTAAGAATGAAACAGTAAAAATGGTGGATGTCAATCGATCTCAGCCCTCTTCACACACTGTGCTCCTGTGTTCAAAGCGGGGCACCTCGGCTGTGCGAGGTCTTTCTCGGGGACAGACGCTGGTTGAACCCGAGCTGCATAGCCGCTCTTCTCCTAGAACATCACGTTTGCCTGGAAAACCAACTGACAAACTATGGTTATTCAGATGTAGGTATTTGGCAGACATTTCCTCGAAAAAGGACGAAGTGAGCTTCAAGGAAAGCAACTGACAGTGTTTGCTGCCAATGATAAAATGTGAGCTTTCAAGTGAAAATTGGAATTTTGGGAAACTTGTATCCACCACCATGAGCTTGGCAGCTTCTCAGTACTTAGAGATCTTTCTCATGCAACGGGTGTTGATATTAATGAATGTGATCTTTTTAATTTGCATAATCATGGCATGTGCCAGCATTTAGAAGACTTTTGCATAACTCAGTGAACCAGTATTTCCCGAATGACCAATATATGATGTTACAAAATCATGCCTGGGTAAAAGATCCAATCACAGTGCCAGATGCATCAGTGGATCTTAACGTGACTGAGCATGAGAAAGTCACAGATGGGGTTTCAGATTCCACATTGCCACTAACCTTTAAAAAACTGTCACTTGTTGAGTTTTGGTGAAGTATCAAAGAATATCCACAGCTATTTGAAAAGGCCATTAAAACACTCTCCTTTTTCAAATACATATCTTTGTGAGGACAGATTTTCTTCATATACATCAATCAAACAACTTCTATTGCAACAGACTGATGCAGAAGGAGATGCGAGAATCCAGCTGGTTTTGAAGACAGATATTAGAGATTTGCAAAACTGCAAAACAATGCCACTCTTCTCACTACATTTTTAAGTTGGAAAATACATTTTTCACAAAATGTTATTTATGTTTGCATGGAATGAGTTATTTTTAAATGAATTAAAATTTTAAAAATTTCTCAGTTCCAGTATGCAGCTAGCCAACTAGCTCACTTGGTGCTGGTCCCCAAGGTCATGGATTCAGGTCCCTGTACTGGCCAGCTGCCCCCCCCAAAAAAATTTCCAATATGGTAAGTTTGAGAAGAGCTGTTAGATATAATCATGTGATGGGCCGGCCTGGTGGCGCACTGCTACAGTGCGCCACTTGGGAGTGTGGCGGCGCTCCCGCCGAGGGTTCGGATCCCACATACAGACTGGCCGCTCACTGGCTGAGCGAGGTGCGGGCGCAACAGCGAGGGTTGCGATCCCGTTGCCGTTGCCGGTCCCGGTCCGGTGCGGGCGTGACACTGAGGGTTGCGATCCGTTGCCGGTCACGAAAAAAGACAAAAAAAAAAAAAAGACGTAATCATGTGATAAAATCAGTAAAAAAAAAATAAAGACAAATTTTTATGTAGTTACTATTCCTGGGACTCAAGTGTTGGATGTTGTAAACAAGCTTTAAAAAGCAGTAAGTGGTGGTGATGTGGAGATGATCCACTGTCCTATCTTGTGAATGAGTACTGATGTCTTGAGAGATTTCTGGGGACAGCATCATAATTAGATCTAGAACATGCCATGCCTCAAAGCACTCAGCAGAAGATGCCTGTACTCTAACTGTGGGATGACTCTAATTAAAAGTGGCTCTAAGGATAACAAAAATACCGAAAATGCAAGTGAACAATTAGAATGCAACAAAAATAGCAAAAACCAATTGTTCCAAAATCACACAATTTTATATGCCTGGTATTAAATACAAGGGGTCTTCAAAATTTTGTAGAAAGAATCATAGTATCTTTTAGATCTATTTTTCCACGAACTTTTTGAAGTGCCCTTGTATGTGGTTTAGTGAGTCAGCATTAGTCTGTTCCATCTGTATTTCTCAGTTCACACACTCAGGTTGGCGACTCCCCCCACCCCCCTGCCCTGCCCCTTCTTTTCCTCACTGGGACAATAGGGGCTTGTGCCTCCTGTTCACCGGCCCTGATATCTGAACAGCCCGGAGCTTGCTCAAGGTCAGACAGCAAGCTAGCGACAGAGCTGGGATTCGATTATTCAGTCCAAATCACAAACGAGCACCTACTGTTCGCCTCCTTCTATTTTTTTTTTTTAAAAGATGACCGGTAAGGGGATCTCAACCCTTGGCTTGGTGTTGTCAACACCACGCTCAGCTAGTGAGGCAACCGGCCATCCCTATATAGGATCCGAACCCGTGGCCTTGGTGTTATCAGCACCGCACTCTACCGAGTGAGCCACGGGCCGGCCCCGCCTCCTTCTATATAATGTCCCCAGTCAGGCAGAACAATCTATGGTGTTCAAAGCCAGCCAGCATTTACCTTGGGGGGCAGAAAACCCCATAAAGCCCATGGGTAGCATCCGCTAGTTTTGTGGAATCTGTCGCTGAAAGGTGCTATGCCAAAATCTTGTCCTATTATAGAAGAAAAACCTAAGGCTCAAAGGAAAGAAGGGACTAGATTTGGTCAACAGCCCAGACAGGGTGAGAGCCAGGGCCCTTGAGCCGGGGGTCACTGCTCCAGTCATCCCCACCTCTTGCCTCTTCCCTGCCCATGTTCAGATGCTTCTGCTCCTGACTGGTCCAAGCCAGGGAGAGTCAGCAGCAGAGTGAGCCAGCCAGAGGCCATGAGTGCCGAGACAGCAGACTGGCTAAAGGGACACCCACCTCTGGACCCCAGCCCACTGCTGCCAGTAGGAATGAAGATCTTTTTTTTTGTCAGACCCAATTTTTCAAGAGAGGCTATAAATTTGAATTTTTGTCCAAAAATTCAATTTTTTGTACAAAAACAGCCTACTGTTTTTAAACATTTAAAACATTCATTTTATTTAAAACCTAGTTCACCTGTTTTTGTTCTCTGCACTAAGGAATCCCCTTTTCTCTCCTCTTTGGTGACCTTTAAACCTACGGTGCATCTGAGCACATGCAGCTTCCAAAAGGTAAGTTTATCTGGTCTTTAGAAAAAGGGAACTCAGGGGCCGGCCCGTGGCTCACTCGGTAGAGTGCGGTGCTGATAACACCAAGGCCACGGGTTCGGATCCCATATAGGGATGGCCGGTTTGAGGCCACGGGTTCGGATCCCATATAGGGATGGCCGGTTTGAGGCCACGGGTTCGGATCCCATATAGGGATGGCCGGTTTGAGGCCACGGGTTCGGATCCCATATAGGGATGGCCGGTTTGAGGCCACGGGTTCGGATCCCATATAGGGATGGCCGGTTTGAGGCCACGGGTTCGGATCCCATATAGGGATGGCCGGTTTGCTCACTGGCTGAGCGTGGTGCTGACAACACCAAGCCAAGGGTTGAGATCCCCTTACCGGTCATCTTTTAAAAAACAAAAAAACAAAACAAAACAAAAAAAGGGAACTCAGAAAACAAAGAGAGATCGTAGCCCAAGGAACTGCAGGGTATGTGAAGGCCTTTGCAGGAGTCGCCCCAAGGGGTAAATGTGGTCTGACGGGCTGGTGGCATATCTTTATCAGCTGACTGTCCTTTGTCCTAGTAACCGCAGCACTTGGCAGAACAGTCCGCTCCTGAGCTGGATCATGAGACTTGCAGACAGCAGATGGGTACACGAGTGGCTTATGGCACTGCTCCGAGAGTACACTGCTAATGAGACCGTCTGTAAAAGGCCATGATATGTGTACAGAGCATACCGCAGTTCGTGATAATGTCCCGCAGGATGTGATCCATCCTGCAGGTTTTCCTTCAGCAGGCATCGAGAAGACGAGCTCACTCAAGACATCCTTTTTGTTGCAACTGGCAGGTGCCTGACCCAGCAGGTTTGCCGCAAGGGCAAGGGAACGGCAGCATTCTCCTTCAGAATGAGGGAGCTGGCTCATGGCTCCTCTCTCTCAGAGTAGAGCAAAAGGTTAATTAAACAAATACCAAACTCTGCTCCATCTAGAACATGCAGGTATGTAGAGAAGAAATGGAATAACACCAAGATGCAAAGAATCACTGAGCCAGAAGGTGCTTTGCAGAGGATTTTGTGTGCTTTGCTTCCTTTGCTAGCTGAGCTCTCTAAAACAGCAGCTAGGAAAACTTACTTTCCACATTGAACTTGCCTGGTTTCTGGTCTTTCATGGAAAGCACTTCGTGAAGTGCTTCTGGCATTATGCTCTAGTCTGCCCACTTAATGCCACCAGAGAATGAATAGAATTCACAATTTTACCCAGTGCCTCCATGCCACAGGCTGCTCATTTGAGTCCACCCGCAAATTAAACACGTCGCATCTGCACTGGAGGCAGCTGGACCCAGTGTGCTTTAATTAAGGAGCTGGCTTCAGCGACCAGGGTAACCTGGCTTTGCTTGATTAAACATGCACATTTTCAAAAATGACTTCTCCTTCGGGTTCTCCACTGATGTAGTAGATGAATTCTCAAAAGTCATGGTGTCTGAGAGTTTGTATTATTTATTTGTTTTTGTTTTACTATTATTGTCTTTATTTTACAAATGAGAAAACAGAATGGTGAGTTTGTATTATTTGGAATTCACTTTTATAAATTTACAGAGTCTCAACATGACAGTGTTTTAACATGGATTTATTTTGCCAAAAGAGTAAATGTGAAACTGTAAACAATAAACAATTTACAGGGTAAAAGTATATTTTCCCATGTTTCAGACTACTAAAAGAAAGGCAAAACTGTTTCTTCTTACATGTTCTCTACAAAATCCCTGCAGCTCATGCAGGCAGTGAGGGTAAGATAGTCCTGGGGGGCCTGACAGCTTGGACCAGGGATGACGCGGCTGGAGCCAGGCCAAGGTCTCTTGGCAAAGACATAAACAGGTTACGGGGAAGACTGAAGAGATGGGGACTCAGCCCTACCTTGGAGTGGGGAAAACCCAAGAGTAAAGTATTCCAGCTAAGGCCTATCGGGGCACCACCTGCCACCTGGACATTTTCATTTTCATATGGCACCATTTTTTGAAGAATTCAAAGGAGGTTTAACTTTTTTTAAACTTTTTTCCACATGTGACTAATTAAGAATATCCCAAAATATTACTTTGAGAGATATGAATTGTGTGTCCTGGAGGAAAGCTGGCGAGGACTTGCTGGCTGTGAGAGCAAAACATATCCAAGAGGCGTCGAGTGCTTGTCTTTAAAATTTATTGAGATAGTTTCCCACAAGGACTGCAGTCACAGCATCGCTCAGCTGTGTCTATTCTGGGAGGACACGTGTGACCCAGGTGATGTGCTGCTGCCCGTGTCCCAGAGCTTCTCCTGGAGGGAGCGTCAGCTACAGGAATCTTATCCCAGCTCCAAATTGGACGCCATCACATATCCTACAAAAAGGGAGAGATCAGATCTGGTGGCCTGCCTGGCCGCCCTGCCACGCTCCCAACGCCATGAGCCTGCACGTCTCGGAAGCACCGCTGGGAGCCCGTCTCAGCACGACCTCCTCCTCCTCCCTCCACCTTCCCGCCCGCCTGCCTGGTCCTCTCATATGCCCCTGCGGCTTTCTCCTCTGCTGGATTAAGAATCCGCTTTTCCAGAATAGAAAAGGGGGAGAAATGGAAACATAAATCCCCTTTTACAGCTCCCTTCTCACCACCTTTATGTTCCCCCAATCCTGACAGGAAGGATAGAAAAGGTGGAGGAGAGGGAGGACAAAGGTGGGGCGGGGACGAGGGCGACAGCGGTATCTGCATCCCACACAGGTTCAGCCTGATCACTCGTACACTTGCTCCTCCCTGGGAAAGGAAGGATGGAAGAGGTCACATCAGTTGCAACATCTGCTATGAGCTGACCCTTTGCAGGTGCAATTCCACGTGCTAGTGAAAACCTGCCATCAGACTGCTGAGCCCATTTTTGGATGAGCAAACAGGCTCTGGCCACACAGCTGAGGAGTGACAGGGCAGGGCTCTGGCCCCAGGCTCCCTGCTGAGGGAGCACAGCTGTGGGCTCCCTGATGGTGTGGTTACATCCTGGCCTCAGAATCACTGTCCACCTGGAGCCTGTGCTCTGGGGCAAGTCTGATGCTGTGAACTGGGCACAAAGTGGGCCTAACCTGGGCACTCAAACTCCCCAGGAAAATGACAGCCAGAATCCCACACAGCAGCTACCCGTGTGCCGTGGAGCACAGCATTTCTGCCAGCTATGGGCAATTTCCAGAAAAGGCTGGTCAACAAGAACACTCCTTCACTCAGAAGACAGCTGACATCCCTACTATCACACCTCTGTTCCTTCCAGATCTGAGTAAATATGAAAACGGGCAGGAAGTCTTTCTTTCTCAACCCAACTCTTAGCAAGAAAACAAAATATCTGATCTATGAAGAGATTCATGACAGACGATCATTAACAATGCCGCTGCCCTTCTGAAGGGTCAAGGGTGCTCACTAACCACCTGCAGCAGAAGTTACCCACCCAGAAGAGGTATCTGCAGCCCCTCTGTGACCTAGACTAAACCATACGTCCTTAAAAGGAAAAGATCCAAAATCAAAACCTTGACTTTGCTTGTACCACTTAGCTATGTTCAGATATGATTTGCTTTTTTATTTTACACTATCAGGTCTATAAAAGTGACCTTTGTCTATATTCACTATTTTAAAAGAAGTCTCAAAATAAGATAGGAGATAAAATATCAGTCAAGCTCTTGGCTTATGTAATTCAGAAAACAAGTAGCCATTCCAATGAGGGCTCGTTTACTCTAACTATAAACAGATTAAACAACTTTACAAGCACAGGTTTATGTTTGGAGACCACATAAACATGTCACAGAAATAAATACCCACTACAAATATTCAAAACAGTGTTACAGAGTTACACAAGGCTGGGGCAACCGAGCCTCTGCATACTCGAGAGCCTCAGCAAACACCCACCTTCCGCTGTGTGTCCACTGGGCTAGGTCTGGGCTCTGGTGTCTTCCATCTCCCCCCAACCCCCACTGTCACTATGTTAGTGCAGGCCCTGGTGGTCTCCCACCTGCCTCTAACCCAGCAATGCCAGCACCAGCATCGGGGTCTTTAGGAAGGCCATGCTGACAGGCCCCTCCTGCTCCTACCTCAGTGCCTTGCACCCAGTCTCCCCTGGTGTCAGGAGCACCTTCAACGGGCCTCACTTATGAACTCCAGGTGCTATTCTAGGTACAGGGAATCCCAACATGAACAGACAGATGAAGTCCTGAACTCAAAGACCTTGGCATGTACACAGAGGGGAAAAAAGGCCAGTGTGGCTGGAAGGCAGAGGGGTGGGAGATGGGGCGAATAAAACTCAGACCCCCAGCAAGGCATCCAAGGGCCTCCCCACACCTGCCTCTGGCCCTGTCACCACCACACAGTGTGGCTCCTGTGTTCAGCAGCCAGGGGCTCTCCCCATCCCTGTCTGCTGCAAGCACCTGGCTGCCCTTGAGGAGGATGCAGCTCAGGTGGCGGCTGCTCAGGAGCCCACTCAATGCCCTCCCCAGCTGAAATGATCGGCTTTCTTGTCTTGCCCTGCTACTAACTGCGAGCTGCTCTCTAAGCGAGCCCGCCTGGTTCATCTCTGGGTCTCTGGAGACTGTGCTTGCTAAGACATGAAGTGACAGATGCTGTGAGATCCCAGACACAACGGTGCCATAAATCCCTTCCAGCATAAAATTTAGCAAACATTTCAAAACTGTTCCCACTTCTGTAAAGGTCTGAAATCCTAATTATAGAGTGCCTGCATTAAGTACAGGGGGTGGGAATCTATGGATGATTTCCACACACATTATTCCCCATCCTGCTAGCTGCCCAATTTTAGAAATGAAGATTAAAGTCTGGCAACATCACTCAAACTTCGCAAAATTCCAATTTTGATAAAACTTCCAACAAAGCCATACACTAAGCGTAAGGTGATTTCCACACCCAAGGGTGCTGGGCTGACCCTCTCCAGTGCTCACTGTCCACAACAGACACTTGCAGCCACCACAATGACAATACGGAGCTGCAGCACAGCTGGGGAAGACGGGAGCTTCCTTATGATCTGGCGTTTAAAGATCACGTGCACAGAACGCTTCTCCCACCCAGAAGAAAGCACATTTTGAAATTAATCTCTGAAACATATTTTTCAGATTTAACCAGGAGAGAGAAGCAAAGCTTAGAGATAAATGTAGCCATTCTTTGTTGTTTGGGAAAGGGTAAACTAAACAGAGCTCCTAAAAGCAGCGTTGACTTCTCGGAGCACACTGACACCCAGTGGCCCCAAACAGCATTGCAGTGATGGTGACTGCAGCAGGGAGCAACTGGGCCTACACTACCCCAAGGTGGGTGGTGGTGGTGGTGTGTGCGTCCCAGAGCAGCAGGCAGCATGTCAGAAGTGCAGTATCTGGGGTCGCCCAAGACCAACAGAGTCAGAGTCTACTAAACAAGAGCCCCAGGAGACCCAGAGGCGCATTCCAGCATGAGAAGGGCCACCAGCTTAGACGGCTTTATCACACATCCTGGTTCTGATTTAATCCAGATGTTGGTGCGGATCATCACAGCACCTCTGGTGCTATCCGCAAGCATTCAAATAAGCACCTAGTTGTTAGGCCAGGGAGACCGACGTTCTCATCTGTGGTGGGAATAAGGGCTTTGTAGAACGCATCTTGCAAAACTAGCCTCACTTGCTGAAGACTGTAAACATGGGGAATCTTTGCTAAGATGCTACCTAATGAACAATCTTGCTCTAGAAAAAAGGTGCCTGTTTTTTCACAATTTACTATCTCTGAAATCAGGAAGCGTCATCATCCCATCTACAGCAACTCACAAACAGCCAGTCAGGTGGCAGCCACATAGTGATTTTGTGGAGAGGGGAGAAATGCCTTCTAAAGGAACACTCTTCGCTTCACAAGTGAAGAGCTGGCCATGGACGGTACACCAGCGGCACAACTGCGTGAAAAATAACCACCATTTCCTGACAGCATGCCAGGCAGTGCTCTAAGTGGCTGGTGTGCATTCATTCTGTGAGTTCTCAAAACTGCAAAGTAGTCACTATCATTATCATCCATTCTCAGGATATCAAAATGGAGACCCAGAGAGGTTAAGTAACTAACCTGGGGTCACACAGCCACACAGAATGGCCAAGCTGGGTTCCAAAGCACACACACAATCTCTGTGACTAAACCACCCCCAGCTTTTGCTTTGTGTGGAGAACGGGCAAGGGTGAAGGTGAGTTGTGGTCGGCAGAGCAGCCACTGCTGTCTGTGAAGGCACTGGAAGGCTCTATCCTCACTAGGGAGTCACGGTAGCCTGGCAGCTGCTGTCCTGCCCCCAGATGCAGAGCAGATGCTGCATCAGCCTTCCAGTGAAAGCATGAAGAGCAGATTCTACTAAAGTGATAGCCTTAAAGGATCTGAATGACACTGAACTGCTCCTGAGTAGTAGTTCTTTAGTCAAAGCTTGCTAATGTGGCTATGCTGTAAGAAGCACCATCACCCACCACACTGAAGTGGAAGACAGTGGGAGTAAAAATTCTCTAGTATTCCTTAAACTAGGACAAACTACAACTCCATGTTTCAAACCGGGTTATGACTCAGACTGCACCACCATTTGTTGGCAACGTTAAGTGCAGACACAAAAATGAAGAGAAAAAAAAAAACGGCTTCGAGTACTGAATGTATAAATATAAAAATAATGAGACAATATAAACATCATCATGGACTGAACGTTTGTGTCCTCCCAAAATTCGTATGCCGAATTCCTAACCCACAATGTGATGGTACTTGGAGGTGGGACTTGGAAAGATAATTAGGTTTAGATGGGACCTCCCACAATGGGATTAGAGCTCTTATAAGAGACACCAGAACACATACTTGCTCTCTGCCCACCATGTGAAGACACAGCAGGAAGGCTGCTGCCTGCAAGCCAGGAAGAGAGCCCTCATTAGGAACCAAACCAGGACCCTCACCAGAGCCCTCACCAGGCATCTTGATGTTGGACTTTCCAACCTCCAAAACTGTGAGAAAATAAACATCTGTTGTTTAAGTCATCTGATCTATGTTATTTTGTTATGGCAGCCTGAGCTGCCTAACACACACTATATAAAAATAATTCTGGATTTCTTAAAATTTATACAGTGCATATCAAATAATATAAGAAATGGAATTAATTTCTAAACCTGTAAATGATCTTATACCATATTCATTCATGTACTATTTAAAATGCAAATATTTTCTCAACAAAATAAGTGGGGGTGTATACACGTATTGAAATATAACCCTGTTCCCCACAAATATGTATAATCAAAGTTTCAATAAAAAATAAAGAAAAAAAGAATAAGTGGGTGAGAAAGGCCAAGACAGTGGGTTCCTCTGCTGCCAAGAAGGCTCTTGAGAGTGAGACCTCTATGGCAAGTCTTTGACCACTCCAATCTCTGACCCTTCTAACCTCTGAGTCCCTGGCCTGCAAAGTCAACCACTGGAAAGAATGCACTCCCTTTTCAGCAAGCATAATCAATAATGCCTTGCTAACTCTTCCAGCCAGACCTTCAGAGTCTCTCCCACTACCTTGAGAATAAGCACAAAGCATCTGAGCGAAGGGATGTGAACACTTCATCCAGTTTCTCCTCCAAACTGGATGAAGAAGTACCCAACAGAGGAAAACACATATTTTCACTCTTTTGCTAAGTATTCAATTTCTCTTAAAATCCTGAACCTTAAAAGGCACTAGGAAATGATTAACCATGTCCAAAACAAAGTTCCTAGAGAGTGTGATGTACTCATGGAAAGTAATTCACAGTACGTACCTGTCACCCCTCTGCACTCCCATGGGGATGCAGTAATTAAGTTCCAGCCGAGCAATGTTGCCCAGCCTGAGGACGATCCCAGCACCGTAAGACCAGCGGATGCACTCAGCCAGCTTGCGAATGTGAGCTTTGGGGCCCTCGCCTGAAAAGAGAAAAGGATGTGCAACCACATGTGTGTGGCCTATCCTTTTAGTGTTGTCCCCAGACAAGCCCTGGCTCTCTTCCTGGCTGTGTGCTGTGGTAATTTTTAAGTCAGGCCTAGCTATTCCAGGAGAATGCATGAAGTGAGATTAGGATCCAAGTCAAAAGAGGGCTTGAGACCATACTTACTCACAATCCCAGAATAAGCCGAGCCCTCTCAGTTCTTTGCAGCTGGCATATTCTGTTCCCTTTGCCTGGAATAGCCTTTCCCCAGTCCCTGACCACCTGGAAAGCCCCACTCCATGCCTCGACTTGAGGGTCTTGTCTTCTGTGGAGCTTGCCAGGCACCTCTAGCTCGATACGTCTGCTGTGAGTCTCCTCTGGACCTCAGTTCCCTGAGGAAGGGACCAAGCCCTACTCAGCTCTCTCGCCATAATGACTGGTATATGGTAAGTGCTCAATAAACGTTTGTTGAATAAGTAGATTTTTCTTTGGAAGGCAGCATTAGATGACTATTTTTCTTGCATGCTTCATTTATTCACCAACAACTTTATTTATTTATTTTTTTAAAGATAACCGGTAAGGGGATCTTAACCCTTGACTTGGTGTTGTCAGCACCACGCTCTCCCAAGTGAGCCAACCAGCCATCCGTATATAGGATCCGAACCCGTGGCCTTTGTGTTATCAGCACTGCACTCTCCTGAGTGAGCCATGGGCCGGCCCAACTAACAACTTTATTCTGGGCACTATATTAGGTGTTTTAGAACAGACATCTACTTGTGAACTGTGCTTTCAAACATAAAGACAACTGTACAATAATGGTTTTTTTAATAATGTGAGTTTTACCATAGTTGAGGTTGCAGAGGTTTCCTGCGTTGAGAAAAAAGTGTGTTCTGAAAAGTTCTCCAAAGCCGCCCTGGCCTGGCCGGAAAGGTAACGGGGTGTACAGGTGCAGGCCACTGGCCCAGTACGCTTCTCCACCCAGGTAGTCTCCTAAGCACACAAGGGGCGCAGAACAAAAACAAGGTCCAACAAACTTAAAATCACATTAACGTTCCACAATCTACAGAAACAAGATTTATGTCATATACATAACACCACATACTTACTGGCCACCTGCCGAAACTAACCAACCAACCAAACAAAAAACACCACACAGTGCTCAAGTTCTGTGACTACTTGTTCTAACTCCTGATGCTGCTGGCCTCTTTTAAAATAATCTTTTTTTTCCCCTGGTTTGTTTTACAATTTGATTTAACTGATGGGGGAAAAAAGCCAGTGTAGTCCAGGAAAGCATAAACTCAGTAATTCATCATATCGGTAAAATGCTTAAAATAAAAGAAGTGGTTCTCATGAAAATCACTTTATCCATAACCATAGATTACCAAATTACTTCTGTCTGGCAAATAAAATGCATTATTCTGCAAAACTTTCAAGACCACAATATAGAGAAAAAAAATACAGAAAATGTCTCTGCAGTTTCTGGAAATGGCTGCACACACTATTAATCAAAAAGCATGGCCTGCCTACCACTCGCTGCACAGGGAAACAGCCCAGCTCAATGGCTATGGAGAAGAAGCTATATTTTCATGGTTTATGACCACTTAGATTCTTGTTTTTTGGACAAAGATTACTTTTGCCAAAATTCAGACTATCCACTGAGAGCACACATGTGCATTATTTCTAAAAATGCTCCTATCCATTCCAATTTAACCATAAATAGCCATGACACTAAAGCGACAAAAACAACCACCCATGTTTATACTTTGTTGCAAAATACTATTTATAAATTGTCTGAGTCCCCTCTAGTAAAAATGACGACCATGAAAAAGAAAAATACTGGATGTCTCCAAGATTAATCAAGGAATGAACTGTTTATTCATTTAAAGATTTCAGCATCTACTTAATCCCTTTTAAATACTAAAGTTCTGAATTAAACAAAGAATGGACAAATAACAGGAGATGAACTTTGTTTTTTGTTTCCCAGAAATGGCCCCTCTCTTTTCTTAAATTTCTTTTATTCTGATCATAAAAGTAATATACTCATTGTAAAAAATCTAATAGAAAGAGAAATAGAAAAAAAAAAAAAAAAAGGAAAGAAACATCTTTTCATTTCTATCATTCAGAGATAACCAACTGACATCCTGGTGTTCTTTCTAAATAAGTTAAATAAGTAAATAAAAAGTTAATAAGTAAATAAAATGTAGCTCATTATATATTTTTTCAGTCATTTTTTTTTTTTTTTGCAGTTTAAAATAGTGTAGGCACTTTCTCCTGATGCTTCATATTCTTTGAAAATATGATTTTATGCTTGAATAATAACACAGATGTACCAAAATTAAATTATCCATTTCTCTTCTATGGTCATATTGGTTTCTAATTTCTTCACACTGGACATTAATCTATGATGAGCTTCCCTGCACACACCTATGAGGATATTTGAAAAAGTTCATGGAAAAATTTGTATTGTCTTTCAATTTTATTTTTCCATGAACTTTGTCAAGTACCCTTGTATATTTTTAAGCTTCTACGAAAATATAATACGCACATAGAAAAGTACACACATCATAAGCATACAGCTGAGAATTGCCACACACATACAGAACACACCTGCAGAGCCCAAATGGAAAAACAGAACATGCCTGTACCTCGAAGACCTCACTCTCCTAATCACTACCTGACCCATGCCAAGTGCGGCCACTACCCTGACCTCGAACAGCATAGATTAGTTTAGCCTGTCTCCAAACTGTATTGAAATGGGATCGCACGGTATACAGTCCCTTGGGTCTGGCTTTTCCCGGTTTTGCAGGTTTCTGAGACTCATGCCGGCCATCATTCAGCCAGTGGCTATGACTTCTTCCTCATGACAGTGTGAAGATGTCACTAACTATCTGTCCATTCTATTGTTGATGGGCATTTGGGTTTCTAGTTTGGGGCCGTTATTAATGATTAATAATCCTTCCATACACATATATTTGTAATGCTCTTGATATATCTACTTGCTTTGATGAAAAGTTACAGCAGTTTACATTCTTGCTCACAGAATCTCACCAATCACCTCTTTGATAGGTAATAAATAGAATATCACTGTGTTTTACTTTTTCAGGCAAGTGGAAGACTTCTAAACTTTCCATAGTCAGAATATCATACTTACTTATAATAAAAAAAGAATAAAACTATCCTAAAATTATGTTACTTTTCTAAAAAATAATACTCTAATAAAGCATTCTAAAAACAAGTGAAAAGAAATAATCTATACTTTGTACAAAAATTTATGCAGAGTACAGTCATTGTTTATAATAATATAGAAGTGGAAGCAACAAAGGCATCAAAAAAAGTTTAAAAAATCAGGGTAGAATATTTTAGAATGAAAATAACAGGTATCGGGCCGGCCCGTGGCTCACTCGGGAGAGTGTGGTGTTGATAACACCAAGGCCCCGGGTTCGGATCCCACATAGGGATGGCCGGTTCGCTCACTGGCTGAGCGTGGTGCTGACAACACCAAGTCAAGGGTTAAGATCCCCTTACCGGTCATCTTTAAAAAAAAAAAAAAAAAAAAAAGAAAGAAAATAACAGGTATCCATTTAAATGATGTTTTTGAAGTTTTACTAACATGTGGTTACACCCCTGGCAAGTATGAGAGAGGTTCCGGGAAACAGGAATTCTCACACACTGCTGGAGGGAGTGTGACTGAGACATCCTTTCCAGAGAGCAAGACAAAGCCTTAAAAATATTCAAAATCCTTTCCCCTAGCAATGCCACATCTAGAACTTTATATTAAACTAAAACATGGCTGGCTGGTGTTATAACACCAAGGTCACAGGTTTGGATCCCTGTAACGGCTAGCCATTAAAAAATAAAATAAAATAAAAGTAAAACATATAGATGAGCCCAAAGATTCAATCAGAAGGCTGATATGTTTTATAATCATTAAAAAAAAAAAAAACACAGACTAAAAAAAGTCCAAAGCTTGGGATTAGGTTTCAAAAAAATTATAGTATGTCAATAAGATGAAATAGGCAAAAATAATTTAAGACAAAATATGAAAAATAATAAAGTATTTCTCTCATTCATTACTGCTGGAAATGCAAAATGGTACCACCACCTTGGAAGCTAGGCTCTTACAAACGCACACATGCACTCACCACACGATCAATAACTGTGCTCCTTGGTATTCACCCAACTGATGTGAAAACTTAAGTCTGTAAATGTTTACGGAAGCTTTACTCATGATTGCCAAACACTGGAAGCAAGCAGGATGTCCTTCAACGGGTGAATGGACAAACAAACTGTAGTGCATCCAGACAATGGAATATTATTTAGTTCTGGAAAGAAATGAGCTCTCAAGTCATGAAAAGACATGGAGGACCTTAAAAGCATATTACTGTGTGAAAGGAGCCAGTCTGAGAAGCTACATACTGAATGATTCCAACTATATGACATTCTGGAAAAGGCAAAACTATGCAGACGGTAAAAGGATTGGTGGTTGCCACGAGTTCAGCGGGAGGGAAGGAGGTGTGAACAGGCGGAGCACAGGGACTTCGAGGACAGTGAAACTACTCTTATGATACTGTGATGGTGGGTACCTGATGTTATGCACTTGTCAAAGCCCATAGAATGTACAGCGCAGAGTGAACCCCGAGGTGAACTATGGACCAATACTGGTTCACAGCTGTAACAAATGTACCACACTAATACAAGACGCTAACCTTGGGCAAGCTATGGGGGGTGGTTAGGGGAACTCAATATTTTCTGCTCAACTTTTCTGCAAACTTAAAAACCGCTTGAAAAAATAAAGTCTATTAATTAAATACAATTATAGTATGTCAGTAAGATGACATATGCAGCCGTTAAAAATGATAAAGTATTTATTCCCATTAAAAACAAACTATTATATTGTTTGAGGGGTGGTGAGAGAAACAGGTTAAAAAATAGTATGCAAAACAAAACAAACAAAATAACGAATCGGAAGATGTGTGTATTTAAATCCTGAAGGGAATACACAAGAAAATGTTCATACATGTTCTCTCCAGGTAGTGGGACTGCAGGTCGTTTTCATACATTTTTTGCTTAGATATATTTTCTCATTTTTCTACAATTCTCAAGAAATATTCCATGCCTGCTGCCTGATACTCTGTGTTAGGTGCTAATTCCACCGCTGTGAAATATGAACATCTATTATTGTTATAATTTAAACAAACACACAGTCTCAAAACTAGATGCCCCCACTATTTAGATTTGGCATTCTCGTGGGGACAGGACAGACAGACCTTCACTCTGCGGCCCGATGCTGTGCATGCTGAATCCACGAACACTTGTCGGCCCCCCAAGGTAAAACCTAAGACAAAACAGAGAAAGTCATCGGGTGAAAAACTACAGATATGCTGAAAGCTCAGAAAGCACACATCAGACTCACATCTGGTGCTGGATTACTGACATCCTTTTCACGCGGCAAAACATTTAAAAAAGGATTAGGAAGGTGCACATGAGCATGGTGAATTTCATAAAATCTAAACTTCTCATCCAAACTAAAATCAAACACCCACAGATGCTTCAGACTTTTGAAGATGTAAGTGAGATACAAGGCACAAAGAAAGACACTTAGAAGAGGGACAGAGCCAACTGTCCATCGTAAAGAAAGGACCTGCTGTCTGTAAGAATTAATTACGCAGTTCCTTCTCAGACTGGGGCTCCCACACACTCACAATGCAATATTAAGATAAAAGAAAAAGCAGGATACAACTTATATAATAGTATGATCCCAATCACAAAAAGGGGTGAAATAATAATAGAAGGAAATAGACCAAAACAGAATTAGTTATTTTAAATGTTTTTTGCATTTTCCACAATGATTTTTAATTAGGGGAAAAAAAAGGTTTATAATTGTGGAAAATGAATTCCTCTGTGTTCCTCAACAGGCTAAATTATCACACTCTTTCCAATTTATCAGAATAAAATGAAAAACATGAATTAAGAATTAATTACTCAGAAATCCCATCCACTTTTTAAAAAATTGAACATCATAACAGAACATGATTTTAGGTTGTGATCATTACTAAAAATGAATTAGAACGAGCAAGAGGAGGTGTGTAATCTTCCTGGCACGGCTACCAAGGAGGCACTGGCAGCTGATGCCTACCGAGCCCCTGGCTGACCTGCAGTGCCGGGCTTGGCTGATAGGAGCATTCTGCACGGCTGAAATAGCACAAAGCAAACAGGGCACCGTTTTTTCTGATTTCCCTGCCAGATAAAAACCTTTATAAATTTATTCATTTGAACTTGAGTTTAAAAGTCTATAAATGTGTGTTTACTCTTTGGGATTTCTAAGCAAAGCTTTTCTGAATACCCCATTAACATTAATACAGAAACAAACAGCGAGCTCCATTTGTTTGTTTGTTTTTCTCCGTTTATTTTTTAAATGATAAACCATGCATATTCTTTTGAAAGAATTGAAATGATCCAGGAAGCACATATCATAACAAGTGAAAAGGTTCTTCCCCCTCCCTCATCTGCCCACTGCACCCCAGTCCCCAGAGTGACCACTGTCACTGATTTGGTGGCTGACTTCCCAGACTGTGGGTACTGCTCCTGTCAACACACACACGCACCATGGAGTTGCCCCTGAACCAGAAAGGAATCAACTAAACACATTCATATGCAGATTTTAATGAATATACATCCACCTCATTATTTTTAATAATTACACAGTCTTCTTTTGGAGTGGCTGTGCTAGAATTTAATCATCTCCCTACTAGTGGACTTTATAACAGACAGTTTTAAAGTTTTTGCTATTTATCAACAATATTATGTCAGCACCACGCTCAGCCAGTGAGTGAACCGGCCATCCCTATATGGGATCCGAACCCGGGGCCTTGGTGTTATCAGCACCGCACTCTCCCGAGTGAGCCACGGGCCGGCCCTATCAACAATATTATGATGAACATCTTTGCACACTTATAAAAGTATTTTTGTAAATTAGACACATGGTGAAACTATTAGGTCCCAGAGACTATAAAAATAACATGTTTATACTTCCAAACTTCCATCCAAAAAGGATGAACCAGTTTAAGCTAAAATAACATTTTAATAATGTAGGGTTGAAGAAAAAGTTTACTGCCCTTGGGGACAATGATTAGTTTTTCAAAGCAACAAATACAACTTCATACCCTGCTGATAGAAGTTTAAAGTGCTGTAAGCTCTCTAAAAAGCGGGATCCAGCAATTTTTTCTTTTTGGGGGGGCGGGGGGGCCAGCTGGCCAGCATGGGGATCTGAACGCTTGACCTTGATGTTATAACACCATGCTCTAAACAACTGAGCTAATCAGCTAGCCCTCAGCAATATTCTTTATAAGCCTTAAAAAACCTTAAGAGGTTTTATAAGTCTTATTTTGAGACAGTAATTTAGGAATCTCTTCTCAGAAAATAAAATGTATAAGGTTATCCTTTTTTTTTTTTGTCCTTTTTGAGACCGGCTGCACCGCACTCAGCCAGTGAGCGCTGTGAGTGCACCAGTCATCCCTATATAGGATCCGAACCCGCGGTGGGAGTGCTGCTGCGCTCCCAGCGCCGCACTCTCCCGAGTGCACCACGCGCTCAGCCCTACAAGGTTATCCTTCACAGTGTTATTTATAAAAATCGAGCTGGCCAGTTAGCTCAGTTGGTTAGAGCACAGCCTTGTAACATCCATGTCAAGGGTTCAGATCCCTATACCAGCTGGCCACCAAAAAAAAAAAAAATCACAAAATTAGAAACAACTGAAATATCCAAAAATATCAGGTAGGCTAAAAAGTTACAGTATATGCAAGTAATAAAACATTATATGCTATTAAAATGAGGGTTATGAAGAATTTCTCATGACTTGGTGAATGATTATAATTTCTTTAAAACTTTGTAAAAAGCAAGGATACAAAACTCTAAGTAAAATACAGTATACTAACAACTTAATACACACATATATAGATGTATGTGTACATATACTGATGTAAACAGACATCCACAAGAAACAGACTAGACGGAATTAGTCCCACGTGTTAACTCTACTTATCACTGGCAGGATTGAAGATTTTTTTACCTAAATGTTTCTCTATTTTTATATTTCTGCAGTGAGTATGAACTATATTCTTTCATAATCAAAAGGTAAAAATAAATTTTTTTTTAATATTATAAGGTAACTGCCCCCTCCCCTAACAAAAAGCAAAAAATATTAACTATGAGGAGTACCGGGTATTTTGAAATTAGCTTAAACATCAATACTAAAGTAAAATTTGAAATAATGCTCTCCTAAATAATTAAACTTTTCTAAAATATCTTGTAAGGAACCAACTGAAAAACCCCTGCAACATACAGCCCATTTGTTATCACTCACCTGTCAGCGATGCTTGATGGTTTATCACCAATGGGTACCAACATTCCACCCCAGAGAGATGTTGAAAAAACCTGTTCAAACATAAACCAACAGCTGTTTTCTTCCAGCGTTTCTGTCATTCCCATGAGCATCAGCAAACAGAAAACTGGCCACATGCTGAACGCCCATGGCATACAGAGCTGTGTTGGGGTGAAGGGCTATAGGAGACCACCTGGCTTGTGCAGCTGAAGAACTACATACAGTCCAAGTGTTGTGCAGATACTTTCAAAACTGCAACTTCAAATTTCACATAAAGACATACTGAAGTCGAGCAGGGAACGGCTTCCATTCTTTTTTTTTTCTTTTTTTGGTTGCTAGCTGGTACAGGGATGGAATTTTGGACCCTGGTGTTATCAGCACCACACTCTAGCCAACTGAGCTAACTGGCCAGCCCTTTGGCTCCCATTCTGACACAGGGCAACTCCTCTTCTGCAATGAGAAGCAAAGCCCTGTAGGACAAGCCATGATAGATGAGGGAGTCCAGAAACCTGCACAAGTGATTCTGCCTCTTCTGAGGCCTCTGTGACTTGGCCTCAAACTGCGGAAGGACTAAGGGCACACGGCATTTTAGGTTGAAAGACAGTACAGGCTGCAATGCGCCTCCAATTATACAGCGCAAAGAGACCACCCTCAAGGACAGAGCCCTCTCTCTTACTCATAGGTCACGAGGTGGCCACTAATCTCAGCCCAGTGATCCAATCTTCACAGTACATAATCGATCCATAAAACCCACTCCATGGTGGCTTCCAGCACAGCGAGGCTCTGCCGGCTCTTCTCCATCTGCTGCGTTCACGGCCTCAGGCTGAGCGGGCCTCCTGCTCTTGCTCACCTGTGCCTCTCTCTGCCTTGCAGATTCCTACATCCTACAAAGCTGCTCATATATTTTGGTTTCAGGAGCTTCAGTAGGAAGGACTACAGATCAACACTGGAACAGAGAGTGGACAGAGCAGGCCAAGCTGAATTAATCCTGATAAATTCAACCATCTATTGGACAACATTTAGGAAGCAGCTGCTCTGAGCATGGTGCTGTGGCACGTGCTACAGAGCAAAGCAAGGGGCCGCAGAGCATGCAGGTGCTGAGACAGCTCCCCTCACAGCCTCATACGGCTATGGACAGCAGCAAAGATGGGAACTACGCAGCAGGCTTTGAGAACACCCTGGGCTGGACCCATGAGGCTCAAGAGCAGTGAGATGGCCCCAAGGTCCCCTCGGCAGGATGGAAAAGGAGAGAGTAAGGTTCCTGGTGCTGTTGGTGGAACCTGGCCTCCGCCACACCCTCAACTCCCTGTCTGACTACCAGTCTACCTGAGACAGCAGGCCCAACAGGGAGGCCACAAGTGTACCTGACCACCCCTCCCCTGCAGACACCACCAGGAACAATCCCATCTGCCTCGCACTGCCCTTGACCTCAGTGACCAGAAGAGCCCACAAGGCAGACGTGGGGCCAGCTACAGAAGGGCCTAAGAAGGAGACACTGGGGAATGGAATGAGAAAGCAGGAATAACCGAGTCAAGGAAACCAAGAAAGAGAAAACGAGAAGAACCAGCGAGCAGATGACAGTGCAGCAGGGCCTGGGCAGAGGTCACTGAACAAGACCATAACAAGGCCTGTGGCAGCCACTGAAATGTCAGTGTCGGGGAAAGGCAGGAACCAAACTCAACGTGCAATCAATTAAGGACTGAATGGGAGCAGCAATAAACTATTTTACAATAAACTGTCCAGAAACAGCCACATGTGCTATTTCATTAAGACTCACTCCTCACCCTCAGGGTTTTTTTTTTGGGGGG